CACCACACACACACACACACACACACACACACACACACACACACACACACACAAATTTATAGTCCATATATACTTAACATACACAGGCTGAAGGCAATTTTGTATAGTATTTTTAATAATTGTGCATGAAGTTTCACGGCATTGAATCTTCTACTGTTAGCATATGAATACTCACCAAGCTTTTATTTTTGAGCCCTTCATGGTTCAGACGTTAAAATCAGAAATGCTGTATAATATTAAGTGGCAAAAGATGTATTATGACCCACATGACAGTAAGTATGTATTACATATCTACTTTGGCAGTCAGAATGTCTCTTTGGGGCAAATTATTTACCTTGCTGATTTCTGGAGTGGGGAATGGAGACAGAGGTAAGGAAATAGAATTGTGGTTTACATTATTATACCCTTTAGTTTTGAATTTCCTTTGATCAAAAACACATATAGCTGATTCTAAAATAGCTAAAATGAGAAAAATGTTACAGGGCTGGGGATGTATCTTAGTCACAATGGTTTCTAGGATACATAAAGGCTTTGGGTTTGACCCCCTCCCACCAAGGTTCTACGTTTGATTCCCCACCCTGAAAGGGGGAGAGGGGTCTTAGGCAACCCAGTCTGCTTTACACAGGGTTGTTAATAACAGACAGTATGTAATAATCAGTGGTGTGATGTTTCACAAATAACTTATTCCTACTAGGTAACCAAGAGAAGTTTGATATATTTTATAAACAAGGGTAGTATCAACATCTCTTTATTCAAAATGGGTGAGGGCGTCAGGAAAAGAGAGGTGAACTTTAAAAGTCAATCAAAAAGTTAAAAAAGAAAACCTTCTAAAGATGATTATTTTTAGGAAGGGCTATATTATAGTAGAATGAAAAGCCCCCCCCCAAAAGCGTGGGAATCCTCAAAAATGCCCACAATCATCTTGAGAAGCCAAGGAAGCACCTTCTATGTGATCTTCAAATTCTGTTGAGTTGGGCCAGATTTTTTTATTTTTCACTTAATTCTCTTAATTTGTATTTTTGTCTTTTTTTTTTTACAAACATTTGTGGCATATTTATAGAGGTATTCACACACTTCAAAATAAATATAAGATATACTTAAACATAAAACAAGTAAACATACTTAGGAATAGGATTAAAATGTTTTACCTATAGCATATGCAACAAATTGTTCAGGAACTACTAATGTAGGAACTACTAATGTAGTCAAATGTAACTGGATCGAAGGAGGTAGCATCAAACGGTCCTTCCAGGATCGAGGAAGTAAAAAACGTGTAATGAATCCACACCACTTCAAGCGGGGCCTCCAGGAAGCAAGAACTCTACCACTTGGGTAAACTTTTAGCCCTGGAACTTTTGAGTTATCTTTCATTTTTTTTCCCCATATGTATTCCAAATCGTCTCATTTGTTCTAACAGAACATTTCCGGAGCCTGACCCTTTACAGCCATTACGACCATCCAAACCTTAACTCATGTTTCTAGAAAGGACTCTACACTGTTATCTTTCACTGTCATCTTGCTCAAATCCGGAAAGCCGTCCTTTTACTGCCTGGAGAGCTTCCAGCTATCTCCGAATGTCGACGTGTTTATTATCCATGATTTTAAATATCTGTCCCACTCTCAACACGGTCCTCTCTCCACAGACCAACTGCAGCGCTTTAAATAAACCAGGCAAATACTTTCTCCAATTGCTTCGGGACTCACCCTCCTGTTCGCATTCCTGCCACGCATCAACAAACACACCCCCACACAGACAAACCGAGGTGTTTTTTTTTTTCCCCCTGAACTCGCTCCCAGGCTCCCTTTCCTGTGAACACCTCTCACTCGTGGATCAACTCTCCCTCCTCATCTTCCCAGCCCATCTTCCCAGGATCACGGTGGGCCTCCGACTGCGGAAACAGCGATGCCATTTGTCTACTTTGAGCCCCGCCACCCCCGCCACCCCCGCGGGGCAGAAACTTTGTTCAGGGCCGGAGC